TCAGGCTTGGATAGGAATCTAACACCTGTCAAGGTCTGTGTGCCTCATGATCCTCTGAGTCCTAATCCCAGTGCCTATTTTTCCTTTGAAGGTAGTTTTGCTGGATGAACACACCTCTGCAGGTATTGACTGCATATCAGCTATAATATGCTCTGTTGCATGTACTTCCAGAAAAAAACAAATACAGAGACAGTAAGTGTGGAAAGTTTGTTGGATCTTTGGGACTTCCTTGATTAATTAAAGGTTCGGGTGTGTTGATGGACTTGTGAGGAGTATCAAGAACACAAAAATGCTCCAGAAAAAGTCTACTAAACTCACAAGTAAAGCTTTCTAGATTTTGAAGACTCTGCACCTAAATAAAAACAATACATTTGCCACATATGGAAGTAGTATGGACTCCAAGCAACCCAAAAATCAATTTCACAATAAGTTGATAGCAAGTTTTGCTAAGACAAAAAAATTAAAACTTAATCAATCTTAGATATGAAAGATTATCTAAAATATTTCTAAAAATTCTTTTGAAAGTTTAAACACCTCAAATGAGAATTAAAACAAAAACCACAAAACCTCCCTGAACTTGCATTCAGATTCAGGCTGACAATATTTATCTTGCAAATATTATCTTACAATAATTTCTTTTCTGGGTCTGTGGCAAGGCACATGTGAGAATTGCATAGCTTAGTGGTACACAATCTAAATTGGCCTGTGGGCAATAAAGTAGAGGAAGTAGGGTACAACAGCAAAATTCTACTTTCATTTCCTGTCAACCCCAGCTTTATTTTTAAAACTCATGTCAGTATGGGAAAGACAGCCTTGCATGCAACAAATTTTTTGTGAACTGTGGTACCTTTATTTTCTAAGATGTAATTTGTTGGTAAAGTCTGTTAATTCCTTTTAAGTTCCTGAGAAAGAATTAGTGACTCCTGTGCACTTGAATTGCATGTGCCTGAGCTTGATAATTGTAAATGTCCTTGTCTGCTTCTGTCTTCTGTGTCAGCTTAGGATAATAACCCTGGCTGTTACCAACAATCTGGATTCATAGATGCACAATTCCCCAACTCACTCATGCAGATAATGTATTCATTACCGTGTTTCAGTTTCAGGACAGTGATGGTCGGAGCGGAATAGTTACCACAAGTAAAAGTAATGAACCATTTAGCAGTTATACTGCAGTCTGTTGTAAACTATCTGATGTGTCTTTCACTATCACTATCACTATCCATCTGTAGCAATAATCATGTAAGACAGTCTTTGAAATAGTGGCACAACGAAGTGATTATACCAGACATTAAAAATCTAGTTAAACTTATCATACCATTTCTTACATTTACCTCATTAATACAACTGTATCACATCTGATTTTTAAAGACAGAGTGTCTTTAGATGTTATAGTTCTTTGGTGCGTATAGAATACAGCAGTGAAGAGAAAAAAACATGTTCTAGTTGTGATGAGGAATACAATAACCCATCACCATAGCAAAGAGCACATTTTATTTGAAAAATACGAATAAAAGATTTTGTCCCTTTTGTTTATTAAAAGAAAATGTAACAATTTCTATCAGTAACACTTGCATAAGGAGGTATACTTTACATAACTCTTTTGTTAAAAAAAATATATATATTTTTGGAGACTTTGGAAAAATAAGGATGGCCCAAAACTTGCAACACACTTCTAATTTTCCTTAGAATGCACTCTGCCATTTATATGTACTGCAAGTACAAGGTCTTAGCAGTTTATAATCCACAAAATAACCCTAGGCAGCATAATTTTATATTCTTCTTTGCATTTAGAATATTCCCTTTGTTATCCTTGTGTGAGTTTATGAGTTTGGTTAATTCCAGACTGGTCCAATACTTAGAATTTCTAAAAGTTGATTTTAAAAAGCCTGAGACGACAGAAGTTATTTAATTCTGTTTAAATACCAATGAGAATACTTTCATATAGATATTTTCTTTCAGTATTCACAATTTAAACAACTGCATCAATTAGAATTCAACCCCAAAAATGTTTGAAATTATTTTGGTTTTCTAAGAAGAATGCAAAAAAATAAAGTGCATAACATAGTGAAATTACTTTCAACTTTTACAGTGTTCTATGTATATGTAATAAAAGGTAACACTGATAAACAAGTTAATTTGTTTTCAATATATGAATCTTAATCTAATGCCAGTTGAATTCAAGATCTTCCTTGCATTTAAAGTGCACTAAACTACATTTTTGACAGGTTTTAGTTTGACAATATAGTTACACATTTTAAAATTCTTATACTGACCATTTTCTCAGATGACTTGTCAAGATTACAGCATAGAGTACCCTCAGCATTACAAGTAAGAGGGTTTGTTTGGAGGAATACAATTACTTATTTTGGTGCAAATGTAACAGTAGTTGAATAGCTGTTGCAGAAATCAAATTGTAAATGGGAAAGCCCTTAAGTAACACTTTGCATTTGCCATTTAGCTTCACTCAGTATCTTCCAGTTTAAGTAAAACTGGCAGTTTTCAGCATTTAGTTGTTATGCAGTAGCAGAATTACTATTTAGGCAAATAGGAAAATATTTGAGAATATGAGTACACAAAAGAACCATGAAAGCTTTAGGCAAAGTCTATATAATCAAACTCATCCATAAGCCAGGAAAGAGTTTCCCACAATACTTCAACTGAATGTATACTTTTTTCAAATTAGCAATGCTACAAAATGATTGTGATGTCCATGGCAAACAGTATAACCTTCTTCCACTTCAATCTAGGTTAACATATTCTCAAATATAGTTTAAATTTTTTTCTAGGACACAAAGGACCAAAGGAAAATATTATAGGATAGGGATAAAAAAATCTGTAAACCTGTTCTTTCTGCACTGTGAGGCCTTTTTCTGTGGCCCTGAAGATTTTATAATCTGCTATTTGTCATGCAAACAACACGACACTGTGATGCGTATTTGAGTAAAAAACAGTAAGCATAGCAAGCATGCAGACATATCATGATAGAAAAGCACATTTGGAGATCACTGTGAATAGGACATAAAACAGAACACACTGCAGCATCACAGAAGCAGCGTCTCAATAACCCTGCAGAGATTTAAAGGACTCAGAATTCCTGGGTCTGGGGGTATGATGCACATGCTGTATAGCAGCAAAGAGAGCACCAGGAATGATGAAAAGGGGATTCTTATTTCTCTGAGATATTATAAACTTAAACAGAACATTAGTGCAAAGAGGGAATATTTGCTTAAGTCACTGCACTTCTGTTGCCTTTAAGCCTGAACGTTCTATGATGCAAATAAAAGAAAACAATGGTGGGAGCACTGTTTAAAACACAAAATACAAGTGATTTTCCCTGCTTTGGTGTAGGGCCAGATGGAGCAGACATAAAGATAACTAATACCTGGTTCTCAAAACAATAATACAACAATTAATGCAATTTTCATGCAGATGTGGTACAAAGTATTATAGCCCATGGAAGTAGTAATGCTAAAAGATTTTCTTTTTAACACTCTACTCATACAATATAAAAATTTAGATGTTAGCATAAAGCAAGTGTGACCTAAATCAAAAGAAAACCTCCTAATAAAATGGAACACTATTAGTTTCTTCATTTGGGACAAAACTGAAACATATCCTAACTCTACCCCCAAAAAAGACAATATATAGGCCATTCTCAGCTTCTGTGCAACGCTTATTGCATTAAAACATCTGTTTAACCTCACTCTACAGCAATAATGTCTTTTTAAATGCATTTCTAGAAGATTCTGTATTTAGTAAAAAGTAAAAAAAAAAATCTGAACACAAATTATTAGACTACTTTCAAATCATCAGCAGAACATTTGTGGTTCAGGGGTTTTTCCCTCCTAAATTTTCTCATGGGTTAAAAGAAAGGAAAAAAATTTTCAAACAGAACAGTGTAGTAAAAGCCAGTTCTAGAACTACAGTACAACTAATACTTTTTAGAGTATGGAAAATTTCTTGCGAAGGTACTGGCTAATTTTTCCAGAAGGCTGTTTAAGCCAAAAGCAGTCAACTACATCTCAGGAAGAAGTTCACTCAAAAAAAAAAAAATCCCTTCAAAGTAGAACTGATCAGAAGTTTCAGTCATGTCCAGGACCTATGCAACCCTGGATCAAAGAAAGGAAGGCTTAATAATCTTGTTCACTTGTGTGGCCTACTGAAGGTCATCAAAAAATGTAGACCTTGCTTTACTAAGGTGAATGTAAGTGGCACCTAAAATGCAGAGGAAGGAATCTACTGGAGCATACAAGTCTGTATCACTCTGCACACCAGACCACAGAGTGAAAAAAACAGTACACAGTTTCTGCTCTGGACAGTTTTCTTATCAAATGCATACTGGAAGAAGTCCACTTCCCTAAGTGGAACTGCAATTTTCTTAAAAGCAAAGGAATGTAATAGACTGTGAGCCTTATAGGTCATAATCTTTCACACAATATTTTGAGTACCTGGTACTCTCACAGTATTATCACAAGAAAGACAAACAAAAAGGTTAAAGTTTCAAATAAAACAAAGGAAAAATCAGAATCTGTTGGATGAGGTGTTAAGCAGTCCACAGTGTTAAGCAGAACTGTTTAGCAGATCTGCAATGTAATATGGTTACAAACATAAGAAATCCACTTATTTAATCCATATAAACCACAATAATGATACATTTCTTCCACTGACTTAAAATGTACCTGCTCCCATGATGCTTGAAATAGGGGGAAAAACGCTTGTTTTGCTTAGGTGGAAATTAAGCGAAAGAAATATTAGTAGATTGAACTAAAAAGAAAAAGAGCAGCATCATCTTATTCTCTTTGTTTCAATTTTCACTATCTCAGTGACCTAACAGCAGCTCGATTTTGCTTTTAGTCAGACACAGAAATAGAAAGACATTATGATTAAGAACTCTCTGTTTTAAACTGAGTGTTGTAGCTCCTGGACTCAGACCAGCAAAAGACTTAAAAAGCTTCAGCTCTTAAGTGAAGCACAGTGAACCAAACAACTGCATAGTTTAATGGTGCTGTCATTGTTTTTATTGAAAGAGCCTACACTTCATCTGCTTCGCTGCATAAAGACTACTTTGGGCCCATTCTATTTAAATGAATGATGTTTCCATGAAAAGACAAAAAGAAAAAGCACAACACTGTAAATAACAGTTCCTTCAGCACGCAGTAGTAACAGAGCAGGTCTGGGTTTACAGCCGTGTTTGAGCTACAGCTAAGGATGTCCTCCATCTGTTAGCTGGTTATGGATGACAAGATTATGAAGGACATTATGAAATGGCAGCTTCTCAATGCAACCTGCTAATTCAATAAGATTAAATCATCAAAGGACCGTTTATTTAAGAGGACAGGTGTAGCTTATCACCTCTGTAAAGAAAACAGACTGGTAGCACTTCTCACACTGATAGTAAGCCCCCATGGCTACCTCACATTGAGATCACAAGGCCTAGAGCACAGCTAGAAAAGCAACATTACAACCACCTGCAAGAGATTAGCTCCTCCATTACCTATCTTCTTAAACAGACATGACCATAAACTTACTGTAGCTTGGAGATGTTACGCATATTGAAATAAAAATGTCATTGCTTGGCTTTACTGTAGGTATTGTTGCAGATACGGTACCACAAACTTTATTGAGCAATTAAAAAAAAAGACACAAGGGACAATATATTCTTTTTTCTGTATTTTTCAAAATTTGATTTTCTTCCAATTGGAGAACCCAGTTTCAAATATGAAAAGGGCACTTGTTCTACAGTAACTGCACATAACTTAGGTCCAAGTACTGTATTCACTTTTTTTTGTTACCGTTGCTGTCATTATATGTCCAGTTGTTTAGGAACTTCTCTGTTTTGGGAATTACAACTAAGTTGTTCTTTCTGATTCTATTTCCCCATAGAGTTCAGCTAGCTTCTTGAACTCAGGTCCCCAGTCTCCAAGGTAATTATAATCCTGGTCAGAGTGTGTTGTGGCTGAATCCAGAGAGCTGATAGATCCAGCTTCTGATCTATGACCCTCATAGGCATATGTCTGCAGGGAGTCATATGGTGGCACACTGGGGTCCAGATCAGCCTCTGCCAGTCTTTGCTTAATGAACTCCTGAACATCTATACTGTCAAGGCTTGAGGAGAGATGATGTCTGGACACAGGCTTCGCTTCAGGACGAACATCTCTCCGGTATTTTAGTTCTTCAGCCGCAGATGGATTCCGCAGTGCAGTGATGTCAAATGCTTCTGTGTCTTCCTCTCCACCACCCTCATCATCATATGTCACAACATTTTCCCGGACGTCTTCTTCTGAGATGATCAAGGGCTCCTTCTTGCTACGTCTTAAGGTGATGAAAAGGACCACAATTGCTAAAGAGAAAACTGCAGATATTAGAGTAGGTTTAAAGTTTATCTCTGAATATGTTACAGAAATAGCAGACACTGAGTCAAAAATACAGACGTTTTATTTTCAGGCTAATATTGGTATTTGGGATCATCTGTTACTTAGATTATCAGGGATCTCATAAAGGACATAAATGGAGATAACATTCTTTCAGGTAAATGAAAAATGAGTTACTAGAGATCACATTTTTCAGAAGCATAGTCCAGGGCTTTCAGTGCTTCTCTAAAACAAATATTTAGCATATCAATTGAATTAATATGTAAAAGGTTTAGTTTTCGCTTATGAATATTTGATTTTGCATAATAAAATGCAAAATTATAAGCTAAATATATTACTATATATTTTTAAAACAGCCTTCCGGCAAGGAAATTCTGAAGTAAGGCGCAAGGAAAGTAGTCTAGAAAATCTCTGAGAGAACATTTTGAAAAGAGTCTTTGGAAAAAAAATCCTCTGAATCTCCTATGTGGGTCATACTGCAATTACCATTATTTCTTGCCACATCTATAAGAATGCAGAAAGACACATGAGTAGCAGAGAGATATGTGTGCAGCAAGTTTTGTCTATGACAGAAAAAAAACCCAGCAAAACAAATCAACCCCACACGCCCGTCTTCCCCAATATTAACTAGTGGGTAAAATTCAAATTGGCCTGGAGAAAAAATGCACTTGTGATGGCATTTATCTTATGGGTCAGTTTATAGTCTCACATGTCCCTCACCCCTGTGGATTGTGCTGTGCATTGCTATCAGTTTATCCCACAAAAGTAATTAAGATATGGCTTTTGTACAAGAGCTAATGGTGCTTCTTGCTGCGTAATGCATTTCAAAAAGCTTTCCTCATCTCTTTTCTATCATTTTTCACACTGTTCTAGACATGGAATTAGAGTCAGTTGCTTTTTGAAATATTTCCAAATTACAGAAAAAAGATCTGCGGTGCTGATTACTTGATAACCTCTGAAAAATAATTTCTAGTGGATTCTATATTTTCCTGAATGTACTTTAAAGGCAGTTTCCCCTATTAATTTTAGCTAAACTTTTCCCCCCCAATCACAGCTATGTGTTTCTAATTGTCTCCTACTACCAGGCAGCCACTGGTTCAAAAGGATACCATATTAAAAATTTCTGCCCTGTCACATTCAGAGAGCCAGTGGAGGGAGAGCATTACTTAATACTGAAAATGGCTTACCAAGAAGAATTACAATACAGAGCAGGATTGCGATTAAAGCTCCTGTGCTCAAGCCAGCCGAGGAGAGGAAAGCTTCAGCATGGCAAGTTCTCACTCGTCCATCTCTCTCACATGCACAAACCCGAATGGTGAGGGTACTACTGCTGCTGAGAGGGGGCACTCCACCATCGGAAATCAAAACTGGGAGGTAATAGGTGTCTTGAGTGGTTCGGCTGTATCTCCTTCGTCTTGTCAGGATACTGGCCGTATTATCTACAATATTATAATCAGAATAACATTTCAGTGAAGTAAAAAAATGAAAAAAAGTTATTGACTATTTGTTTCCCATCAAGTGAAAGCAAGAATTAAAATTTGTCAGGAAGCATCTATGGCCAACAGAGGAAAAAGAGGAGGCAGTGGAAAGTAATTAGCATGATATAAATAAAATTATTTAAAACTCTTGTACTTTTATTAGAATCTAAAGGAACTTTGACAAACATTTGGGGTCCTGTTTGCAAGTGTTTTAATACCATGTTATGCTGTTGGTAGTATATGGACAGTCATCAATTTGAATATCTGGAATTCTGAGGATATTTGTTATGGAATTTTTCCACAACACAAAATTGTCTTGATTCTCAGAAGAATGTTAAAGGCCTTTAGTAAAAGCTAAAATGAGACTTTCATATTTTACTGTTTGCGACAGGTTTTAAAGTTCAAATGAGCTTTCAGAAAACATCAGAAAGATAGTGGCCAAAGACTCATGCTATAGAGAGGTCAAGAGGAAGAGGGAAGGGGAGAGGGATGGAGGAAAGGAAGGGAAAGGAAGGCAAAGGAAGGGAAAAAGAGCAGATATGACATGTTCTAAACTAATGGAGGTTAAAGGTATGTAAGCAAAAGGGAGATAGTGACATAAGATTTTGTCACCGTTGTTACCTATAGGTCCATCTGGCACATATTACTCAAGGAGAACATAACATTTATTATGCACACGTTGCAAGAGCATTTACAGGCACCAATGAGGATAGAAAGTTGCTGCACATATCTCTTTAAGTCCAAGAAATTAAGGGGCATAAAGAAAATGTGGGAGAAGAAATGTTACAATAATATCTTATTTATTTACATTATTTACAATATGTGTAAAATTTATTTTCAATTTGTTGCCACCACTTTAAAAGTTCTAGCCCCTGAATAAAAGTACAAGATAAATCAAGCAAAACTGGAGACAGTGAGGACCAGACACATGAGCCGTTATGGAAAGAGAGAGAAATAGGGGCTGATAAATGGAATGAGAGATTAGAACAAAAGAGCTTTCCTCTCAAACTGGTTGTCCATGATTTCCAAATTGTGGGATTGTGAGTGTGAAATTTTTTAGCAAACAAAGGGATGATGAGTACAAAGAAACATCTGCCAGGTTTCTCTTCCTATTACAAACAAACAAGGCATTTTCTTCTTTTCCCCTACCACTGTAGCTACAGCATTGAATGGATTTATATAATCTATGGAAAAATGAAATCTGTGTTGATTCATGAAAATTTAGCACAGCAATACAACTAGTGCGGCATATTTTAGCCCATCTGACAGATGCATGCATATTTGAATGGAGGAGTTGAACATTTTTGTTTAAACTGGATAAATGCTCTCTTTCAGGTGACTACTCTTCATGCCACACCTTCTATCAAGCTCTGTGCAAAATTTTAAAGCACTCAGTTTAACCCACTTCTGCCAACATTTTGGTTTGCATATCATCTGTCAGTGGTACTGAGAAAAACTGCTAGTATAGCCCCACATAATAGTAATATATATGTTAACAGGTTTCACACAAGAAATATATTTATGAGCTGGGAAGTGATACCCTTACTGGCAGGCCAAGAACTGAGCACTAAAGTCCTTTACTTCTCCACAAGAACACCACCCATACACCCTCATCTTCTTGGAAATATCCAGCACGGTGAGTTTGTTATAAACTCATTAAGTGTTGATCTTTTCACTTGAAGTGGGTACAAAATAAGATCTATTTATTTATTTATTTATTTATTTATTTATTTATTTATTTATTTATTTATTTGCTGTAGACCCTGAAGCCCTATTCTACTTGTCTACGGACAGTAAATTGGCCTTTTTTTTTTTTAAATATGGGGTTGTAGAAATGATTCCTATATGCATATAGCATATGATATGCAGAATTATTCTTTCATTTTTATGAAAACTGTGTCAAACTTTGGCTTTTCTCCATATTGCTTAATCTGGCCTTGTGAAATCTTATAAAAGTATACTGTGGTATTCTCATTAATGCTGATTTTTTCGTTATATTACAGTTAAGAAGTAAATTATTTCCACATTATTCTGCAATTAGACTAGGGAGCAAACTGTTTTGTGTTATAACTGAGTCAATTGATTGAAGAAATCAAGTCTGGTATCACTGAAATTCAAAATGCATTTATTGTATAAAGAAAATTCTTATTCCTATAATAGAATGAACAGGGGCCTTAAGACCACAATTATAGACCATCTTCACCCATGGAGGTCTTGCTAGACTCTGCCAGACTAATGCTAAGATATATGAAAAGTACCAAGTCCTATTTCTCAAATTTTGACCAGCTCACTTTTTAATACATGTATGGTCTTCTACATTTAATTAAATACTGTACATTAACAACCTCAGGGATTTATTTTAAAATACTTCTAGAACAAGCAAATAATCTTATGGAACACAGATTATAAAGAGGTAGGTTGCCTGCATGTCTTTTAATTTTTCAGTACACATATGGATATAATCAGGAGGTAAAGTAAGTAGTTGTTTTATCTTTCTCCTACAAAATGTTGCATAAAAAAACCTTTTACTTTTTTTTTTTTTTTTTATAATATCTTGTCTATTCACTGCACTCCACTTTTTTTAATGCTACCTAGATTGTAAGCCCCAACTTCCCTAATACTGCTGGAGGACACGGATAAAAACTTCAGGGTTTCAAAGAGGGAAATCACCACAGACCATAAAACGACCTTCACCTTGTCAGCTGTCCAAGCAGTGGTAGATTGAGCTCTAGATACAGCCCAAGAGCAGAAATAAACTCACATATCTGTGATCAGTAGGGAATTTTAAATGAATGCATATTTTGCATAAAAAGAAGTTAATGTTTGCAGTATATATAAGGTGATGACTGCTGCTTCTGCCTTTCTACATCAGAAAAAAGATTCATATCATCATATCCTCCACGTGCAGGAAAAACTTCACTGACTTTCTAGTTTTTCAGAATCCAATTTATAAATGCTTCCCTTCCTTAAAATGAAACTTACTACAGATTATTAGCAGAGCTCTTCTCTAGCAATTTCCCTTTTTATCTCCTGCAGTTGCTGGTTGTTAAATCAATCAAGACTGGGGAGTGCTTATGATCCCTGGAACACCGATTGTTCACACTGATGAATTTAGAACTCTCCCTGGTATTTTGTTGATCTGGGCCAACCAGGACACCCAGCTACAGTCAGTGTTATTATCATACACCAGGAACCCTTCTCAGCAGGCAGTATGGGCAAGAGCGCACCAGGTTTATTTCCTCTCACTTTTCACTGTGCCTCAACATTATTCCAAAAGCCTGTGGATTCTTAAGCAACCCTAAATAGCCTCATGCTACACACACCACAACACACTGTGGCGTGTACATTTCTTTTGTGACATGATAACACTATGCTGTTAGGCTGCAATACAACTTTCACATTATTTCATAAAGTAAAAAGAGAAAAAAAAACCATGATAATGAAACCTGGGCTCTATTAGATTCTACACAGGGTCCAGAGGAGATACAAGGTCAAGTGCTTTGTATGTTGCCTGTTTTACTAAGCTTCTTTGCAAAACAACAGTCACAGTCCTGTTTAACATTGTGGGCCGTTCTTTCTTTTTTTCCTGAGCACCAGTACTATCACTTTAAACTAGTCTGCTTGGACATGTAGAAATCCCACTGAAGTCATTAGAGAAGTCATGGCTAGGCTTCGCGAACAAAGATTTGGGAAGGCTCTATCCACATTTGTTACAAGCACGTTGGTGGCTAATAAGGCCAATACGAGACAGACATGTCCGATTGCAAAAGGCACAACAGAAAGACTTCTTAGGTGGTACATTCTGCAAGATACGGTTCTTTCTGCGTTGTCTTTTCTCCTCAAGAGTGATCCTGCGTGCGTTCTCAAAGGAAACAGCAGCGTTATAGATGGTGTGTCTCCAGGCCTCCCGATTTGAGGCCAGAGGAGACCAGTTATATTGATCAACATTAGAGAAGTACAACATTCTTATATGCAGTTTTTAGCACATGTACTTATCAACAGAAAAAGAAAGCAATTTCAAAGAAGTGACAGTTCTAAGGAGAATCATATTTCAAGTTGCAACAGAAGAGAAGATGACAATCACACAACAAAGTTACCTGGAAATACCTTAAAGACCTAAAGATATGTTCAAGGACACAGTTTGAAATGTAATTCTCTATTGGTAGTAAGTGACACTATATCCACAAGTTAAGCATTAATATTAAAAAGTGTCATGTCTCTCACCACAAAAGAAGAGGTTCTTAGATCTTATACTGGATTTCCAAAAGGTGACAGAAAGTGTTATAACCCATAGTAAGAACACCTATTCATTTCTGCTTAAGGCTCTATTTCTGTTATGGTGCCTACAGGTCCCAAACACTTCAGTTACTTTGTCCATATAAGAAGAAAATCCTAAAAAATTATGTCCCAGTGAATGCTCTTGGGCCAATATCCAAAAAAGGCCCAGTACTCATATCTGTACAGGAAAGGATAGCCCCTTCCTTCTTTCCTCTGACATAAATAAAAAAGACTGAAAGATGATCACCGTATAGCTACAGAGGCAGTGATGAAAGTGCTGGCTGACAACAAAAGCATCAGAGGCTGAATATAAGGAAGAAAAATCTAGGATTCCTGAGCAGGAATCTTGCAGTAATGAAAGGATTTTAGCACAGAGACTATTGGCAAAGATGTAAAAGAAAGAGCATTGGGATATGAGCACGTATGCTATGAGAAAAACTGTGGATAGATGGGGGGAAAATTGTGAGTGCAAAAAATAAAAGCTAAAAAACAAAAGGACAAAAATGACAAAATGGACAAAACATACAATTCAAATGTTACAGTAAAAAATATCTGAAAAAAACCCTATAATTAAACCGTGTTTCTCTGGGGTGGAATGTCTTACCAAACAAGGAACTGTCATTTTTATACTGCATAGAATAAATACAAATTAAATAAAAACACATTTTTTCTTTCAATGTTGT